TAGAACAAACACATTGAGATAATTAATTAACTAATTATGCTCTGACTCGTTCCATAAAAGAATGCCCAAAAATATTTTATATATTTACATTTTTAGTTTTGGAGGGGGACATATGCATTGAAACTGCTAAAAATTACCTTGAGCAAACTTCCTCTTCCTGCAGAACTGGGGAGGGGGGACTGTTTCCTTGAGGTATCCAGTTTCACTTGTTTTTATTCTTCCATAATTGAGCTGGGACTGGATAACCCACCCCAAGGCCCAGTGCTATGTCTGTGTGCACAGGAGCGCTATTTTTCACTCATATTAGCAAGAACAACCATAAATATGTTCACAGGTGGAGTTAGTGTCATGCTCAACAGAAAAACCAATGTTTTAATTGCTGCATTTTATTTGGTTGTTTTAAAAAACAAGATGGTGCTATGAAGCTTTTGAATAAACACTTTCTAAAGTGACTGGCACAGCTCTGGTTTCTTTATTTTTTAAACGAGACACAGGTAACTCGTGAAAGGGGAAGGTATTAATGACCTGCAACTAAATCCAAGTGAGCCAAAATGTGGACACATCTCACAGGCACTCAAACAGTTTGAGAACAGGACTAATCCTGGGATTTAAATAGTCCAGACTGTCTGTGTGTCCCCTGACACCTCCCTGCTCGGCACTGGGTTTAGTCCAAGGCAGACGAGGGTAAGTAAGGATGAACAACCTGCAGCACAAGTGGGGTGGCAGCAGAGATGTTGCTCAAGTCAAGTGCAGGCTGCAAAAGGTGTTGGGTGTGGCCGTGGTGCTCTGGGATTTGGTTTGACTTTTCCTTTGTTTGGACAACAGGGGAGGAAGTCATTAAATGGTTCTGAAAGTGTTTCTTGTGCTGGTTACACAGATGTGTCTCTATGTACGTACCTGTATCAGAAATGCCAGACTGAATCCTGCCTGCTAAACTAAATCCAGGTTAGGGCTTGCCTAGGAGTCATCCAAAATGATTCAACTGCTGGGATTGACATTTTCTGGATTAACATTCTAACAGGAATGCTGCTTGGACAAGAGAATTTGGAGTGGAGCAGCAGCAGGAGGCTGTTGTTACTGTCCTTGAATGATGTGTTTTGAAGTCTGTCCTTCACAGGTTTCTCTGCAGAAGTAACAAAGCTGTGCTGGAGCCATTGCTGAATATTGATTTGTCAAATGTAGTTAATTATCAGGTTACTATCAAATATTTTGTGCCCATTTCTGATTTATACTCTTTGCTTATCAAAATGTGATCTCTGTCAAACCATGCAAAGGTGAGTTGTTTAAGGAACAGGAGCCAGGAGTAACTGAGCAAGAACAAGTGTGAACTCAGTTTGAGTGGGGTGGAAAGAAAAAATGTAAAAATGTCACGGTTGATCTTACAGTCTTTTGGAAAAAAATGTCACATTGGGCTGTATGGACAAAAATAACCTGAAATATCTGTCAAATATCCAGCTTTGCTTAGGACTGTTGGGATTGAGCTGAGGGCAGGATCTGGTTTAGGGCCCTGCAGCTCAGGGAAGATGAAAACTGAAAGGAGTGTAGAGCGCAGTGGTAAGAATGACCAGAGGATGTGAAATCATGACTAGCAGAAGGCTGAAAGAAATGTGGTGTTTAGACATCAGGTTCCCTTAGTTCATAAATGGATGCCTTTAAGGAGGGAATGTCGTTCCCACTGCTTCTGATAAATTGATTAAAACGTCAGATAGTTCAACTGCAGCAAGATCCCGTGAGCTGAGGGAGAGCTTTCTGGTGACAGGGCCTGGAGCAGATTGATGTGGGGCCTCCATTGTTACAGAACCGTGTCAGAAGTGGCCCTGGTGCAGCTGATCCCCCCTGGGGTGGGGAGATGGACCAGATGATCTTTTGGGGTCCCTTTTGGTGTTGATGGTCTGGTGCTCAGTCTCCACCTCGTGCTGTTTCTTGCATCAGAGTAAACAGTCTTGTACTTGCTGCTGAACCCTGGTGGCTTTGAAACAGAGCCAGGTCTCTTGGAAAGCTGTGTTTTGCATGATATTTTGATTATGACTAATGCATGTGTTGTTTTGGGGGCTTTTTCCTCCTCCAAAAGGTCAGTAATTTTAGTCCTTCAAGATCTTTCTACTTATGACTTTAACACCAGTTCTTCAGTTTCCTCTGTGCTATCTGTGAGTGTGACAGCAGCCAAAGGGAATTAACTTTTTCTCTGGAGTTTAACTGACATTTTTGTTGCCCATGACAGCACTGATGAGGACTGAATTTGATAAATGAAAAACTGATTCCAAGCCAGTTTTTTTGCTAATTTAGGTATTTAAAAGTATTGTCCAGTGTGTGCTTATCTCCCCAGCTCTTGCCCGGATATTTCCCTGTACAGCTTATACAATAGTGTGTTGTTTTTCTCCCTTTCCCTCAAGTAAGCACAGAAAATCCACACGGCTCAAACACGTCACGGGAAATGAAGCCAATCTGGCAGCAACACTTCTGCCTCCATTTGCCCAGCAATTTTGTAAGTTCTTTGCAAGATGGAATTGGGAGAACTCGCTGATGTGATCAGCAGCCCTCAGCTGGGGCAGTGAGGCCGGGGACACTGAGGGATGAGTGAGGTGCCAAGGGCTCCCTGCGGGACCTGGGCCAGTTCTCGGTGGCACCGCTGGATCCACAAGAGCCTCGGTCTCTCCTCAGGTGTGTGGAAGGCACTTCCCAGCCCAGGGGTGACAGTGAATTGGCCCAGTATGTGATCGAGGAACAGGCCACTTAACCCCTGCCAGGGGTTTGCAGGAAGTAGTTCAGAGATGATGAAAACCGAAACTCTTTCCAACTGGTGGAAGGGAAATACTGTGAGAGCGAGCCTGGCTCGCTGCAGGTTGTCTCTCAGCAAAGAAAGCTCTGTGATTTATGAGCTGTAAACCCAGATTCCAAAAAAGAAATATTAACAACTGATAAAAAGATGCTTTGGTTAGAATAAAAAAAGAATGCAGTCATGCCCACTGTATTTCAGTGCTGATCTGTCCTTTAGTTTATATCCCTTGCAGAGCCTTAACCTTTGGATTGTTGAGGAACCACCCAATTCACGGTTTCCTTTTCCAGGCAGTCAACAAACCCACGTTGTTTTCATGTGAAAATTCAAGGGCAGTTCCCATGACAGGTGGCAAATATTGACAGATAATGTTATAAAAGTCAGTTATGTCAGGTTCAATCAAAAGCCAAAAAATAACTCTTCCTAATGAAGGCAAGGAAGAGGCTGGAGGGGAGGTTACGTGCAGTGGCAGGTTGTGGGTTCTCAGAGTCAGATTTCTCCATCGGAATGTGCTCTTAAAACAGTTGTAGTGGAAACAGCAAAACCTCTCCAAACCCATCCAACTCCCAAATGTGAATCCCAGCACTTCCTGTGTGGAAAATAGCAGGGAAGAGCAGCAAGAATGTCTTTCATCCCAAAGCCAATTGTAATAGCTCCTAAATGTGGTCTGATTGCTAAGCAAGCAAAAGATGGGAACAAATAAATACTTTGGGATTTGTTTGTTTTGTGTTATTTGGAAAATTGTTGTGACCCGTTTGCAGGCAGTGAATCAGAGACACTTGCAGAATTAGTGCTAATCTCTTAGCACAGCTGGTACTGCAGTTATCAGGTAATTTGATCGATGCTTCCCATCCTTGCGCTGGAATCTGCAGCTGCTTTATCTGTGGAGAAGTGTGGAAGTATCTGAAGTTATGCCCTGTGTTAAGTGCATTTTCTTCATCTTTTTCTTTTTTCATACTTTCCCTAAACCATTAGGATTTTGCACACCAATGCACGGAAGATTTGATGAGTCTGGAACTGACTCAGAGGAGCACCTGGAAGTTTTTCACATATGAAGTAAAGAAGTGTCATGAAGTTGAAGGGTTTGCCTGAAATCTCCAGTCTGTTATTTCTATGATGCCCTAAAGGTTCCGATTGTTTGGCAAGAAATTAAAGAAAAAAAGCAAAAAAACCCCACAACTGTGCTGCTGTAGAAAACATTAATGAAAAAAATCAACTCCAAAAGGCCAGGATAAGGCTTGAAAGGTGGATTTGTGTTTTCACATTACAGCTTTGTGTGCCCTACCAAAATAACTGAGTAGTGCCACTGGTGCTGCTGAGAAAGCCGCTATTTTCACTGAAAGATCAATGAATTACTAAAACAGCTGAAGGCAAAAAGCTTCCCTTGACAAAACACTCGTAATCCACCGCCCAGGGGAGTCAACGGGAGAGCAAACGTGGTTTTAGTGCCTCGTTTCTGGAACTGCAATGCCCGAGCTCTCCTTGAGATGGTGCAGGTGACTCGCCCTGATCGGCTGGTGCTGTGTCAGGGGCCAGGGACAGCAAAGCCAAGCGCTAATTACAGCCCTCGGCTCCTCAGTTTGCTGGTTCTTTTCTTTTCAATTGTTTGGAACAAGTCTCTGAAAATTGGCAGCCTCTTCCAGCGAAGCTGCTGCTGCTGCTCTAACCATCAGCTTTTCTTATTTGTCCCCATTCTGCTTTTCCACTTTTTTTTTCCCCCCTCCCAATCTGCCCCTACACTGTGGCAGTATTTTGTTGACCTGGTGATTTATGATTTTTTTATAGAAAAAATTGTGAAGCGTGGGAATGAAGAAATCCTGGATGAAAACAGCTGGAGAAAAAGCATCTCAGAGGTGGAGTGAGGTATTTGGAGTAGTGGTAGGAAGAAAGGAAATTACTTATTGAGCTTACTGAGGCAGCAAAACGCTTGTGAGGAGTGTGTGCTCCAAGCTTTAAAACAAAGCTAAACCTTATTTCTTTATTCAAATAACACAAATATTCAGCAGTAGAAATTATTCTTTCAAGCCCTTTCCTTGTGATAATATCCCAGTCCTTCCTATACTTCTGTAAACTACAGACCCACCTGTAAACTTGTAATTTTACTGACTCCCCCAAAACTTCCGTCCTGTTTGTTGCCTCCATCCCCACCCCGTTATTTATAGCTGAAACAACATCCAACAAAAACTGCCCCTTACCAGGAAAGCTTCCCCTCCTTCTCCCTCTGCCTTCATTGGATCCTGCTCTGCACGGATCAGAGCAGGCAAATGTACCACCCACCTCTAGGAGGAAAACTGAGCTGCAGCCCTGGTGAAACATAAAGTTTATTTGGGTAAAGTGACGCAAAAATTCTTAAAGAGCTCTTTGGCAGCAGATTATCTGGAAATCAGACCATGTGAGGGGGACTGGTGTACAAAAACCTCCCCAAGGTGCTGAGTTGCCCACAGGCTGCGCTCCCGAGGCTGAAGTAAATGTGGGTGAAGGTCCCTCGGGCTTGGAGAACTCCAAGGGAAGAGCCTCAGACCGACCCCAGCCACAGGTACTTTATGATTTTGTCTCTAACACAGCGATGTCTGAAGTACTTTGTGAAATTCAGACAGACTCTGAGACGGCTTCTCCTCCGAGCCGACCTCCTGCAGCAGCAGACACTGGAGTTTCATTAACTTTCATTGCTCGTTGCCTCTTTCAGCTTCAGTTATAAAATCTGAAATCCTAATGACAGGCTGAAACCTGAACTCCAAGTTTTGTTCCTTTTTTAAGGCAGCTTTTGGGTCTTTGATTAATTTCTAAAACGTCGGGAAAATGTGCATCTAACAAAGTTTTGGGGGTGGAAAAAGGTACATTGATTTTTGGTGAAAGTTTGCTTTTGATTTTTTTTAAAAACTTTTAGTGCTTTTTCTCTCGCTTTTCTGCTGTGACATGCTCCACTCTGTCATGTTCAGGCACTTGTCCAGCAGTTGTGAGTGTTGGGAGACAAATGCCTGTAAGCAGAAAATGCTCCAGCAATCTGAAATGAAGAGTTCTGGCGGTTCACATAACTGCATTACAAATGTAAAGTTATTCAAAATTTCCAAAAAAAAAAGAATTAAACTATAAGGAAAGATGAATGAAAGCAGCAGAATCTGAAGGGGGGGAGAAAAAAGAAAAAAGCCAGTGCAAGCTGTTATTTGTTTTGAAAGGGTGAAGTGAGGTTTATTAACCACTATGAAGTTCTATTTTAAAAGGTAAATTGTTCCAGCACAGTAAATTATCCAACTCAATGGGACAGATTTATTGTAAGTAATAAATCTGAGGAGCATGTCCTATGTGTTTACAGTCAACCACCTTTACTGAGACCAACTGGCTTGCTGGGTTAGTTTGCTAAGAAATGTGGAAGTTTAAGTAAGGAATGTAAAGTAACTGAATACATAAATAGGCAAGGAAAACATGTTTTGACGTGCTAAGAAAGCCTGGGGGGGAAAGGATCATGCACTTGATGGATTTGGGTTCTTGAAAATGTTGTGGCATTTTTGTAATGTGGGTTGCCAGTTGTCAGACTTTTACCAGGGAAGGGCTCGAACACTTGGGCTGCATCTTCTGGTGCTTCTGGTGGCAAAGTGACTGTAATTTTCTTGGAGAGTTCTTTGTAAAGTTGTCTTATAGGAAGTGACAGCCGTGGGTCCATTTTCAAATTGCATGGGGTGTGATGTATTTCAGGCGGTCAAAATAAGAAAAAAATCCCCTAAGAACAGAATTTAATAACCCCCCTAAATTATTCCCGCACATGGAAAGAGCTTAAATACACTGCACACTTCCTGCTTTCCTCCCTGGAAATATAAACTGCTGAGTTTTCTCTGGTGACAGTGTTAGAGGCTGCAATGTTGGTTCTGTGTCCTGGTTTCTTTGCTGCTGCTCAGGTTTGAACTCTTTTTCCCAGCCCCTGGGTTTGCAGCTCTTGTTGATCTTCTCTCGTAGAACTGTTACAAATAACGAAGCCCATCTGAGGGATGAGTGTTTCGTAAGTAGAACTTGGAGCCTGAATAAAGGGCTGTAATTTGGGCATAGCCATTAACAAGCCACCTTCAGAGAAGCATCATCTGCTATTAAGGAATGGTGCTGTATTTGTTTGGTGATGTTTGCTGTGTTCTGACTCTTCCTTCAAGCTTAGACAAATAATTTGAGGAAGAATACAAAAGCAATATCTTCCCTCTAAGCTTATCTGTTTCCTTGCACTACACACAGACACTCTCAAGCCACGAAATGCATTTCCCCCTTCCTGTTCTTCAAATGACTGTCACCAATTTGGCAGCATTCCCACTAAAATACAGTGTCTGCCTTCTAAATGAAGTCTTAAAGGTAAAAATCTCTCTTTCCCGTGGACTTTTTAATTTCAGACTGAAACACGGATGAAATTGTGACGTAAAACTCTCGGCACAGGTTTATATTTCCCCAGTACTGCTGCTTCCAGAAGCACTGTTTTCCCTGTTTACCTGTGTTCAGCCTTATCTGGGAATACAGGAGTTAAGTGGAACTCTGTGGGAAGCAGACTTTTGTTCTCCCAGGAGGGCCATTGTCTCACCAGCACTACTTGCTGAGTGCACTTGCCCTCTGCTTTAGTAAGAATGTGAGCAAGCCCTTGGAGACCTGCAAATATTCATATACAGGGTCCGTTGTCACCTACACCCTGCAAATTTCCTATAAAACACTCACATTTTGGGCTGAGCCAAAGTACCCAAAATTTAAACATTTAAAATCACCAGCACTGGGATCAGACCTGCTACAACTCACTGGAACATAAATTTCGGTGGGTTTTGATCACTCTATCAAAACTCAGTTCAACTAGAGAAGAATATTTTGTATCCAACACCCCAATTCTGTGGCTACCAATTGTTTATGAAAATCAGGTTTTGAAATCCGAAATGCAAATGTCACACTTTCTGTCAGCTCCCCTAAGGCAAACGAGAATGGAAAAGGATATTCCAGGTACTGATTTTTTAATGAAATCAGTGTAACTGAACACACTCAAAATCAAAAGGCACTAATTTTTTTTGCATGATGAACCTAAATATGACTCGTGTATGACATGAGCCCAGTACCTGGAAACACCCAGGTATGAATCTGTCAGAGGGTCATGGCTCATATTTTGGCTCAGAGGTGAGAATGGTGCCTCCAGGTAAACAGCACAACCTTCTCCTGCATGGGATAAATGAGTTCAATCTCGTTCATAGTCATACAAACTTCTTGTTTGATATTCCAGATAAAAGTAATTTCCTTGGACTCCTTCCATTTATGCACAAGCCCGTGTGAACTGCAAGGTGTAATTGCAGTGGGGCGGACAGGGAACTTGTAACCATCTGAAATACTTTTTGATAAAAGTGATGATTTAGGTCAAGTTAACAGTTTGATTCTGTCTGCCAACACCCCGGGCTCACTCTTTGTCTTGAGGTTCAAAGTGCTTTAATTCCCTGCAAGTGGCTGCCTGTGAGCGGGAGGGACGGTGGGACCAGTTCTGCTGCAGGAATGTGGCTGGAGCTCCTCCACCAGCTTTGCTTTGTAAAATCAGCACCTGGAGTAAGAACAGGGTTTGCATGAAGTGAAATGTACACAAATCTATAAATTTTGCCGCTGTAATGACTTCTGCAGTCAGGCACAGGGGGCTGGACAAGCCCTGGGCTGCCCAGGCATTGCAACCACACCTCAAACACAGAAACCTCCAGGTGACTCGAGGCTTTCAGATTTGCCTCCTTGAAGCATCTGCTGCTTGCTGTATCTCAGCCTCATTGCTTTACTCTCCCCAGACACACTTTAAGTCCTTTCCTCCTTTAAAAAAAACCAAAGCAGCAGGAGAATCCCTTTGTTTTAAAGTGCTGGAAGGGTTTGTTTACTCTGCGGCAGAGCATTAAAGGGATTCCCACACTGCCACGAGAGGTCACTGCGTGCTCCAGAAATAAACAGGAGATGAGCCACCGGTTGTGCAAAAGGAAGCAGACCCCAGGCCAGGGATGCTCCTCGAGGATTGCCTTGCCAGAGGTGAAGGAGCCAAATTTGTGCCTCAAGGCTTTTACATCATTTGGGTCATGCAGGGCTTGTACATCTCCAGTGCTGGTTCGAGTTTAGCTCCACGTGGGAGGCAAATAAATATAATTTAATTAATATTTGGCTGATGTGAACTGCGTTGGTGGCTCCAGCCAAGCATGTACAAACACATGTCTTCAATTATCCATCTGAGTGTTTTCAACAAGCAAGCAAAGCAGGGAATAGTTGCGGTGGACACGCTGAGTGTTCCAGGGTCACTCCTCTTTAGTCACTCTTTGCACAGGGAGGGTGCCATTCCCAGCCTGGCACCTTCCACGTGTCCCCTGGATGGCATGAAAATGCTGAGGTGAAAACTGCCCTGCAGAACAATCTCTGGGCGGGAGACAAAGCACTGGGAGCCTCCCGGAGGAGCAAAGTCACGTTGGCCCAACACAGATGGAACCCAAGGGAAGGCACGGATATCTGTCCTCTTCCTCCTTTTATCTTTGCCTTCCCTTCCGTGGCTAATTAGGGGCGATAAGAAGCCAAGGTGCAGTTATGTAAGAGCGACCTTTGTAACAGCTCAGACAGAAAATAGGTAATAAACTGCCATTTCTGAGGTGGTTCACTGTCAGCAGCCAAGCACCTGAACTGCTGAGGAAGGAATGGAGGCTGAAGTGGGAAAATCCTTTTCCCTGGCTGCCTTCCCTGCTGTCCTAGCACACTTCCCAACCCCAAGAGCTCTGGTTCTGCAGCTGTTCACTGTTTGTGGCAGTTACAGTTCCTTCAAGTTGTTTTTTGGAACAAAGCAGGGGGAAAAGTACATTCTCCCGGAGTTCTTTACAGAGTAACGAAACCTTCTGATTCTGTAACAGTTATGTTTGCATGTGCCAGCTATGCCCCTGTGAACACCACTGCCTAGCCCTGCAGTCCGTCCCTCCAGAGATTTCCCAGGATAACTGACGAGCTGGAGCTCTGTTTCAGAAAAAAAAACAAAAAAACCCAACAAAAAAACCCAGTTCAAATTTCAGCTCAAGCCCCTGGAAATTCACGTGCCGTTTTGCATCTTTGAGGCTCAAACTACTGAAAATTCTACAGAAATATTTCAAATAATGTCCCATTTCTTTCCTGTGGTCTGCAGAAGACCAGAAGGAGCTTAGATCTGGATGGACAACGATCCTGATTGTCACAGAGTCTTGGATATCAACAACACACTCCACGCCCTCCCCTCAGTGAAGAAAGCACCAAGAGGTGTCTTTGTGCAGAAACAAAGGGCTTTGAAAGTACAGCAAGAGTTTAAGCCTCAGGTATGGAAAAATCAGTCCCAGGAGATAATGCAGTTAAATCAACATCCTTTACTGCTTTCCCATTTACAGGTCGCAGGTGTAAAGTCCAGAAGGGCTCAGGTTACTTTTCCATATTTCTACCTTATATTTAATATGCTCCATACAAGGGGAGGATTGGCTGTGGCCTTTCCTAGGAATTCTGTGTTGACACCAGTGGTGGTAGGACTGTTGCCATCTACCTAAGCTCTTTTGGGACATTTGGAAGGTTTAGGACTCCACAGACATTCGGGTTTTCTGGTCCTGCAGGTAAAAGAGAAACTCCTGTTCTTGACGTTTCGATCTTTGTGGATGATTAACTTATGGTAGCAAAGTACTTGCTCCTGTAAAAATTCACATTAATGATGCACTGCTTGCTTTGTGATGAAAGGGACGTTATTTGGGTAAAGACAGAAGGTAAGCCTGGAGAATTAGAGATTTCTGGGAGTTGTAACAACACCTTCAAGTGACTTTTATCCCAAGAATATCCTCCTGTTTGCTCTGCAGTTTGATAACTTTCCTTCTCTTTCTACTTGAACGGAGAAATGCTTAGGAGAGGTTTAACAATTTGTCTTTGCAAAAGGCTGAAAGCTGGGAAAAACGTGAGTTTTAATAGCTCTGGTAATCAGCAAATTCTAGAAATGAGCAAATAACCCCCCTTCCCTGCTTTAGTTTTTCCTGCAGTTAAAAAATGAAATCATGCTTATTGTTCTGCTGGGACATGACAACAGCAGTCACTGTTGTAAAATGCTTTGAGAAGTTAAAAATAGATGTAACTGTAATAATGTAACCTGTGGTGGCATGGTGTAGATTGTGTGACTCTTTGCTGGCTGTAAAGCAGGGTTGCAGCCCTGGGGAATTTACAGCCCAGAGGATCAGCTCCTGTTCCAGGGCTTTGTTGGGTAAAGGCAGTTGAGTATTTACATTACCTGAAGAAAGGAGCAGAAAACAAAGCACAACCTGCTGAATCACAGCTCTTTTTCTGCTCTCTTTGTTCTGAAGGAAAAGTTATCTGTGTCACATTTTTTCTTTATTTCAGGATGGTTTCTTTCCCTTGGATTCTGTTTTTAGCACACGTGAAGAGGGCAGGAAAAGCCAGGGATTCTGCCAGTGCCTGTTGTTTTGCCCACTACCCTCCCTGGGGCTGGAACCACAGTGTCAGCAGATCCAAACAGAAGGAAAGATGCTTTTATCAGCCCAAGGAGTCAAATAAAACTGGGGACAAGTTTTATCCTTTAGACTCACATGTTAGTTCTTAATCAAAAGAATCAGACTGAAGTTTATGATGTTTTGTTCTTGCTATTGGTGTTGACTGAGCCTCAAGTGTTAATTGAAGCAAAACCAGTGAGATTTAAATACTTTACTGAAGTTTCATTCGAGCCTTCTAGGTTTGCTGCTAAACATAGCAGACACTGTGGGATTCTCAAGAAAGGTGGTCATGAAATGCAATTTTTATATCCGTGGTTATCTCACACATCTTTAAATAATTCTTTTCCCTTCATACTGGGTGAATCTCGAAATTGCCCCAGGATGAGTGGACCAGTCACAGCTTATGAAAATGAATGTGCAAGTCACACTCAACTCTGACCTCGGTTTGCAAACTGGGAGTCCCAACAAGCTCCCTGGGTGTTCAAAGAGCAGAAGACAGCAGGACTGGGACTGCCTGCGAGGTGTCCAACAATGCCCAGAGCCCGGCACAGCTGCCTGAGAGGGTGTAAGGCAGGTACACCGACCTCTGCTGTGGAAGAGGATGACTTGTTTGCTTCCTTTCTCTGGACAAAATCCTGGCTGGATTATCAGCTCTGTGATTCACGTTGCATGCTGTGGTGGTAATTACTTCCAAGGGTATTTTAATCACAGAATCTGTCGGTTGTAACCTGCAAATTACCAGTATCACAGATTTGTAACTCTTTTTTTTTTTCATTTCTTAGATGGTGCCTCTGCCTTCAGTCTGATGGATTTAAGTATGGGAGAGGAATTCTAAAAGTGCTGGGAATAAAAGAGCGGGAAGACAAGCCACGAGGGGACTCTGTGCTGCTGCCTGTCTGCAAGTGAGCAGAACAAATCCCAGACAAAAATGGAAAAAAAGGCAACAAGCAACGAGACTGAGCCACTGACTTCCAAGACAGACTGTAACAAAGGAGAAGACTGTAAAGAGAACGGACTCCTGGTCAGGAACCCTAAATCTGCCCTCCGGCTGGTGGAGGATGGCAATAAAGTCCATCCCAGCCAGGGGGAGAAAGGGGAGGCCGCTCAGATCTCCAATGGTTATTCAGCAGTTCAGAGCTCAGCCCCCTGCAACGGGATGGGAGAGGGGGAGGATGCCCAGGGCACGGCCCCGGCAGCCACCACCACCACCACCACCACCACGTCCACCACCTGCGGGGCCGAGGGGCAGCAGCAGCTGATGGAGCTGGAAGACAGAGAGACCTGGAGTAAAAAAATTGACTTTCTCCTCTCTGTCATTGGATATGCAGTGGATCTGGGAAATGTGTGGAGGTTTCCTTATATATGCTACCAAAATGGAGGAGGTCAGTGCCCAGCCCTGTAGGCTGTTCCTTAATGCTGAACTTCCTTGCTTAGAAATGGGTGATTAGAATGGCTTTTAAATTATCATGTGTAACAAATGACCAGAGGGAAATGATTTACTTTTTAAGCTGACTGGAAAACCTAAATATTGGGATAGGATAATGTTAAGATGAAAGAAAAACTACTCAGCAAGGTTTAAAAAATCAGTGTATAATGAGAAGCTGAGAGCCAATTATGTGCACAATCACCCTCCAACAGGAAAGACTCAATCCCTGTCCAAAGGAGTATTTTAAAGTCAGATAATCCAACATGTCAAAACCAACTCATGAGGAAGGCCAGGTCTTAGACTCACTGGCACAAGAGGCAAAATATAAATCTAAAATCTAATCAAGGAGATCTTGGAAAGGACTTTTGTCTCCTTGATGTAACAAAGGCATTTTGCTGACTAAATTAATAATTTTATCTGTAGCCCATCTCACAGCTCTACCCAATCTCACAGCTGCCCCCACTGTAGACAGTAAAGTCTTGGTGAATTCTGCATGTGCTGGTTATAGAAATATAAGAAATTTGGCCTGAGTGCTGCTTCTTGTTCACTCTCTCAGAAGTTACCCTTACAGAAAATCCCACAATAATTCACTGTGTTGCACCGGCTACAGAGGGGGATATGCATTTTCCCTGTGGGATAAAAGGAACTCCTGTTTATGGAGTGCTGGTGCTGTTGGAATAAAGTCCTGTGAAGAGTTACAGTCATGTGCTTTCTCTCTTGCAGGAGCCTTCCTCATTCCTTACACCATCATGGCCATCTTCGGAGGGATTCCCCTCTTCTACATGGAATTAGCACTAGGACAGTACCACAGGAATGGCTGTATTTCCATTTGGAGAAAAATATGTCCTATATTCAAAGGTAAAGATGGGGAAAGGGAACTTTCTGAGTAACTGGAAAATTTTCCTATAAAGATGAAAACGAGGAAAATCTCATGAAACCACATAAGGCTTGTTCTACACAAGATTTTGGTTTTACAAAGAAAGATTTCCTAAAATTCTGTGTATACCTGCATGTGTGTGTACAGTTGTGTACACCTGTAATATGCAGCTCTCAAATTGATTAGATAGAGGCCAGGCCACCTCTCTGACCCAAGCCTGAAAATACAAATAAAAGATAGGAAAAGGAGGTGTTCTATAGGCTCATTTACTCCTGTTCCCAGTGTTATAACTCTGGCCTTGTCGCTTTTGTGACTGCCAAGATGCCTATTTCTAAATTCCAGAAATTTAGGAACAGATGGAAAAAAATCTCTACAAGCATGTTCTGTCTTGACTGAGGATGTTTTACTGGAATCAGAGCCTGAGTGTTTCTGAAGGCACATGAAATTCCAGCGTTGCAAACACTTGAGAGGGTATAGTTAAGTCCTGCAGAGCTGCCCTAGAAAGTTACTCCTGGTAGTTGATGTGATAACCAATTCCTCTTATTTTTGGGCTTAACTTTACACTGACTGCATGCAATTATCTCCTGCCCCCTCCTAGGAATTGGCTTTGCCATCTGTATAATAGATCTTTACGTAGCCTCCTACTACAACACCATCATGGCTTGGGCCTTTTACTACCTCATCTCCTCCTTCACGGCGGAGCTGCCGTGGACCAGCTGCACAAACCCCTGGAACACGGGCAACTGCACCAACTACTTCAGCAAGGACAACGTCAGCTGGGCCCTGCACTCCACCTCTCCCGCAGAGGAATTTTATACGTAAGTGCATGTAAGTGAGGACGGGGATAGGAGACAGAGTGGTGGAGCAGGGAGCAAGCTCTTCCTCGGAGGAGAACAGGGCTTGATGGTAACGGTACCCTCTTCTGAACCACTCAAATTGCTGAATATTTGTAGGGTGTGGAAGCTTAGGGTGTATGGGGGTACTCAGCTGTCATCACTTGTTATCCCCCCATGTGCCATCAACATCAAACTTTTAGCTAAAAATAAAATAAATGGGAAATCACATGATCCAAAGGCTACTTAGCAAGGCCTCAGGATTCCTTGTCATGCTCACACCACGGTATGGGACTGTTCAAAGCAAACTTAGTGTGAGCATTTGTTAAAAAAAACATACCTACACTGTGTTTTTGTTTCCTCTTTCAGCCGCCAGGTTCTACAGGTGCACAGGTCTGAGGGGCTGGATGACCTGGGGGGCATCAGCTGGCAACTGACCCTCTGCTTGTTGTTAATCTTCACCATCGTGTACTTCAGCATCTGGAAAGGGGTCAAAACATCTGGCAAGGTGAATGCCAAAGCAGGACAAATCAGCTTGGTACAGGACAGTGTAGAGGCAGCTCTGAAAGAGCCAGTTAACTGTCAGGGAATTGTCTCAGACTGTGTTCCAGACAGGGATTACAGGCTGATGTATTTGGGAATGCTGCAGAGTGATTGCTATTGTTACCCAAGTGATGTATGACAGCAGCAGGTTACACCCTTGTTCCCTGGGCAAGAACAGCCCTGCCAAGGAGAGCGGGTGCAGATGTGCGAACTGCCTGTGTGCAGACCTTCAGAGAAGCTCGTGGGAAGATGTTATAAATCCTAAGAGATATAATATAAATATCTCATTCTTATTATTCCCTGTTAAATTTCTACCCGTGGCAAACGCTGTGTTACCATTTCCCCTCGCAGGTGGTTTGGGTGACAGCCACGTTCCCTTACATCATCCTCTTCATCCTGCTGGTGAGAGGTGCAACCCTGCCTGGGGCTTGGAGAGGGGTCCTCTACTACTTGAAACCTGACTGGCAGAAACTCCTGGCCACTGAGGTAAAAAACATGATCAAAGGGCAGAGATTTGCTCTTACAGCCTGTCAGTGTGTGTATCAACACATACATACCTCAGTGTCTAAAAGAGCATGACTGAACATGTCTTAGCATGGACTTAAAAACCTGACTCCATGCTCTTGTTTAAACAGTCCTGCTATTCCTTCCATAATTATGAAGAATTTTAAAGATTAGAGTTCACCATCACTGGCAGAATTCCCATACAGTGTGTGAATAGAATCAGTGGTATGATTAGAAAGGAAACAAGTGACCAGTTTTTCACCAGAAAAATGGTGAACGGGCTGTGGAGGAGGAATAAATCAGTTAGGCCTGCATGCACCTCCAAAATCTGGAAGGAAAGGAGGGATGAGGACAAGACTGAGTGAACCAATAAACCCCAGGCACTCCAGTATCTGATTCAGCCCTGAACTCTGTGGATGACAAACAGTCCATCAGGCCCAAGGCTGCATTTACTTCACTGCCTGGGAAAGTGTCTAGTGAGGAGGGCGATGGAAAAAAACCCCAAAGCAATAAATACTACAAACACACAGATTAAAAATTTCTAATGTTTGCAAGTCTGGTGCTGCCCAGCTGATATGGAGAGTTCTGAATGAAGAGGAAATGAAAAGACACCGGTCTCTGATAAAGCAGCATCTCCAATAAGGAACCACATCTCCTGCAAAAGCAATAAAGGGCATTGATATTGTATTGGATGTATCTGGAGTGAGGACAGCAGATTGCAATCTGTGTGCTGGCCGATGACAGAGCTCTGTCTGGGTGATACAGGACGGCCTCACACGATGGAAGAGAATATTAGAAATGAGTTGTAATGAACTCCATGTTTCAATCAAAAGAGGGTAAATGAATGAGGACTTTCACCTTCAGAAAGAGAACTGATATTGTACTTTAGCACATTACTCATTAGGGCTGTGGCCACTCTTCAAGTACAACAGGCTTTTCATAACGAGATGATCCCACTTGCATCTGTCATGGCTACAACAAAGCTGAATTGAGTCCTAAGGACCAGAACTGCTCCCACACTGTCAAATGTATTTCCATAAATCTAGGAAGAACCTGGACTGTGATCACCTACTGCTTAGCCTGGAAGACACAAAGCCAAACACAGGACTACTCCAGAGCACACAGAGCTGGGAGGAAGATGGCAAAATCATGGATAGAAAGTTCCCTATACACTGCAAAACTTGTGTTAAACTGATCCCAGGCAATCTAAGATGCTGCCACAAGTGAAACTGCCACAACAGTGTGGAGATACAAGAAGCACCCTATAGGCACCAAAATCAGAGTAGATATTTACAGCTCTCACACATCTACAATAAACATTCATATTTCACAAAGTGTCTGTTAGACCAGGACTAGGACACAGGCAGAGCAGTGAGAAACCCTTTTGTAGGCCTAAGTGATATTCTGAATATGCCAAACCTATTCAACCTGTTTCATGTCATTTTTTCCTTGACTTTCAATATTTTTCAGGTTTGGGTGGATGCAGCAGCTCAGATTTTTTTCTCCCTGGGACCAGGTTTTGGGGTCCTGTTGGCTTATGCCAGCTACAACAAATTCCACAACAACTGCTACCAGTGAGTTCTACCTTTTTCTATAAGCAAAATCGAGTTTAAAATTGTAACTGTGGGTATGGATGAAAAAGAAACGCAGTGCTGGTGAAAGGCATTGGAATGTCAGACCTGTGCACATACAAATCAGACAGAAGTGTAACAGAACAGAAATCCTTATTGCCAGAACCTGCAATCTAAAGCATTTCTCCTCTGCTGTGCCCACCTTAAAGAGAAATAATTTTTACCAGTTACAGCTGAGGTCTAAGGTGTAGAAAATTGTGGCACCAAAACAGAATAAACCCCTGCCAAACCATCACATTGTAATTGTTTAATCTTAGGAAATGACTTTATGGTCTTCAGCTGAAAGGCAATTTATAGTTGTTTCCTTGTTAACATGAAAAAATTCTATTTCTAACTTATGAAATAAAATCCTCAATCCTTTAATATTCCTATAGTAATTCCTATTCTTTTAAGCCAGCCAGCATTCAATCTAGTGTCAGACTAATGTTACAGCACCTGTTTGAATTTGAAAAAGTCGTCATGGTTGTTTTTTTTTTTAACTTTCAAACCTGCTGCTTGTTTCCCCCCCTGTATTCTCCAAGATTTTCTAGGAGTCTGTCAGATTGTTAACTCACCCCACGTGGTTGTAAAGTACCCTTTGCAGCAGGGGCACATTCCCTGATGTGAGTTAGGTCTTCTGTTGCAGAGATGCTCTGGTTACCAGCACCGTGAACTGCCTGACCAGTTTTGTGTCTGGATTTGTCATCTTCACCGTGCTGGGGTACATGGCCGAGATGAGGAACGAAGATGTGTCAGAGGTTGCCAAAGACACTGGTAGGTGAATGCTCTTACACACCTCAAACTGCTTCTAAGAAAGAGCGTATTTGTGTGTTATCTTCTAGATTGAGAACAGCCCAAGAGATGAGCAATATTTAGTGTATAATTTGGGACACTGACTTCATGATGAGGGAAAAAAAAAAATATTAGCCCATAAGTACAGCACATGCAAGTCATCCTGCAGCTTCACATACGTGGTGGTAACAGCCTGTGGGGAGTTTTCCCCTGGGAGATAACATTTCAGTGACCCAGCCTGCCCTCCCAGCAGCAGCCCTGGCTGACAATTATCCCAATTCTCTGACTCCAGGCCCCAGCCTGCTCTTCATCACGTACGCCGAGGCCATTGCCAACATGCCGGCTTCCACCTTCTTTGCCATCATCTTCTTCCTGATGCTGCTCACGCTGGGACTGGACAGCACGGTGAGTAGTGGGGCTCTCACATCCTCCATGTGTGGCCTCACCCCTCCAGAGAGCACAGAAACAGAACTGCAAACACTGCACTGTCCCTGGGGGGTTTACAGCAGGATTGGCAACTCCAGGTACTGTCTGTAAGACAGCAACTACTACACCAATTTTTGCCTAAATATAATGAAATGATTTGTCACTGTCATACTGTGACAACTCCTAACAGACCCAGAAACACAACCAAAGCACTTGATTCACAAACCCCGATTAAATGCAGCCTTCCAGGCTCTCTCTTGTAAACCTACAAAGCAATTATTAAATTCGGGAAGTTTTTCTCACAAATTGGACTTATATCGTGGGAACTGGAGGTTGCCCTCCCAAAAGCACTGTGAGAAGGAGACACACTAAGAGCCTATCGTGTGAGCCTGGTTTTACAGATGGAGAATTAGCTCCTTCCAGCAAGGCTGAATTCAGCTGATTTAACCATCTGGTTCTACTGAACCCCCTCCCACTTGTCCACATCCTGTAACACAGAACTGCCTCTGGATGACAGTCCATTCCTGCAGGCACCTGAAGACCAAATCCCCACCCTAAAGAGCTTTAAAGCTCTGAGGAGAGCCTTGTCTAAACAGCAGCCACCCCACCCCTAGAGCAGAACAAAGCCCCAGTGTTTCCTGTGTAAAGCTCCTTTAAGCACTCAAACACACGTCTAAGCAGGTAACACTGCCCTCTATTTTCCAGTGATTTTTCCATGCTTTTCAGTTTGCAGGACTAGAGGGAGTGATTACCGGAGTCCTGGATGAATTCCCACATGTCTGGGGCAAACGCAGGGAATTGTTCGTCCTTGGGCTGACCATTGTTTGCTTCCTGGGCTCACTGGCGACCCTGACATTTGTGAGTATTTCAGCCCTTCCCAGCCCTCCTCGCCGGCACTTTCCTGCAAATGACAGCTCAGAGAGGGTGGTGTTTTTTCAAGCCATCAAATTAAATCCCCATCCTGTTTTCTTTATACAATAGGAATCTATTACTTGGAATAAACGTGAACACTGTTTCACTAGGAAATGTATGGCTGCTCCAGCTGCTGCATCAGTCACCAGACAGCCCTCCACATTTTGCCTGTGGTTTACTTCTTGTTCCCAGAAAACTCCACGTTCAAAAATAAAATGACTTGTTATAATTTTCCCAATGTTTAAAATGTATTTTGAATTTAATGATCTGCTAGAAAATGCTGTAACTGACTGTTGCCGTTCTCCAAAAATTTCTAGTAATGAATTTCCTGGATATCCCTCACTGTAGCAGACCAGGAATCATGATTAGTCACACCAGAGTCCCTGTGGGGCTTGTGGATTTCATTCTCACAAGAAATTTTTGAATAATGCGTGTAATGACCATAAGGGAAGAAGAAAAAAATACTTGGCTTTCCTGTCATGTTTCACTCCACTTGCTCATTTATGTGGAACTTCCTTCTCTTTTAAAGTGTTTGCTCCACAAGGATGATTAGTTCCTCCCCAAGGGGTCTCCTCCTTCATGATTCGAGACCCCAGATGAGGAGAAAGCAAAGTAACACTTTATTTATTTCCTGTTCAGTTGCTATGACTCGGAGCAAGATGCCATCATGGAAGGCAGGCAAAAGCCATCCTGCCAACCACCACCAAATCCCACTTTGTGCAGTAAAACCCAGGCAGAACTGGCAGCAGGTTTTGGGTTTTCCACCCTTTGGACTGGTGAGGGATGTCCACAGAGAGCGAGCAGATCACCAAGGATTTCCCTGGCAGGAACTGCCACAAAGGGACAGAACTGAGTGAATTTCCCACCTGAGAATAAGCAGCATTTCCATCCCTGGGTCCCTGGGGCACTGACAGTTTGCTGTCCTTTCCAGGGGGGAGCATACGTGGTGAAGCTGTTTGAGGAATACGCCACCGGTCCAGCTGTCCTGACCGTCGTGTTCCTGGAGGCAGTCGCTGTGTCCTGGTTCTATGGTAGGTCTACAAACACTCCTGGGCTTCTGCAGTGCAGAATTTCCTCAGTTTCTGCAGACAAAGATCACTGATGTCTCCAGAAAAAGTTTACAAAACGTTTTACAAACTCACCGATTCCTAAATCTGTGAGAATTAATATTGTCCTCTGACAGAAGTACACAGATACCTAAGAGTAACAGGAGATGTAATTCAGACCAATGAAGGATTTAATATAATTAAGAGTTAGAGGAACAAAACAGTCTTTGGTGATGGATTCTGAATTTACTTCCTAGGCATAAAAAACACTGAGCATCCGCTTGGGGAAAACTTAGACCTGCTGTCACCCCTCTTTTCCTGTTTGTCTCCACAGGCATCACCCAGTTCTGCAACGACGTGAAGGAAATGCTGGGCTCTGCCCCAGGCTGGTACTGGCGACTTTGCTGGGTGGCAATTAGTCCCCTCTTCCTTCTGGTGAGTTTTCTTCAGAGCTTTCTCTTACCACTGAGCAGTGCAGTTCCTCAGACCTCGAAATTCTGGAATTTTCTCGCCAAGTTCTTTAGTAACAATTTTTGTTGAGCCAAAAAGGCTCAATTCACGACAAAGCCAATGTAATGCTGCAAGGTCTCGTTACTAAATCATGATTTTAAGGATTTTTGTGGATGAGTTAGCTAAGTAAGTCTGGGTCCTGAATGACTGTCCTCCTTCCCTCTGCTGAACAAATTTACCTTGTTTGGTTGCTTTATGTTTATCTCAGCAAAATGAAGTAATAAAAGCTGATGAAACAACACACTGTCAGAGCAAAACCGAGGTAAGCAAATACACTCTGACCGACGACTTCAGCATATTCAACTTAAATTTTACAGCAGTTAATTACAGCCTTTATAAATCTGTAATTCAGAATGGGAAATACTGTCCAAATATTTGACTTGGCAGTATTATTGATAACATTTGAACATAAAGTGTTCATTTCCTGATTCAAAATTAGTTCACGCTGTCTTTTATTCTGACTGGCCTTAGTGGAAGCAGAGCAGGTCAAGATGGAGTTTATGGAGCACAGAATGTAGATTTAAGGCCTGCAGAGTGAATTCAAAGCACTTGTCATGATCAAGGCATAATTAACAGACTTTCATCTTATTACCCCTAGAAAGAGAAGGGATGAAAAGGCTATAAATAAAAATGTGACACCACAGTAATTTCTGTAGAACTGCCCCCTTTGTGATCCTAAACCAGCAAAATAAACAGAGGCACAGAGCTCTGGGGATGTGGTGACCAGGCAGAGCTACCTGCATTCCCTGGGGGAATTAATCCAAACTAAGGAAAGCTCAGAGGGCAGGATGTCATTTCCATATGGAAATTTTCCTGGGAATCTTGAGCTCCCGATGATACTCTGGAAAAAACAGAGATCCTTCTGAAGGCAGTGCAAGTATTATTCCCGTGATATTCAACTAAAAGCATTTGTTGTTTCATAGGACATTTTCCAGCCACGAATGATTGCTCAGGAAAATGATCAAACAGCATTAACCAAGCTGACATTTTTTCCTTTTCCTGTATTGACAGAGAGCAGTGCAGTGTGGAGAGAATCTGCTTTGGAAAGCATCACTTTGGTCTTTGTTTTGTGGTTTGTTGTTGGTTTTCTGTTTCTTTTTAAAATCCATACTAATGTAATTCAGGATTTTTTCAGTGTCAGCATACGTTGAGTCCTACTAATTTATTTATTTCAATGCTAGGCAGGAGCACAGAATTCCCCAGAGTGTGTGCCACCAAAATCCATTTATTCATCCTTCATTCTCTCTCTTTTTCAGTTTGTCACGTGCAGCTTTCTGTCCAACCCTCCTGAGCTGAGGCTTTTTGAATACGATTATCCCTACTGGACCACAGTGCTGGGTTATTGCATAGGAACCTCCTCCATCATCTTCATCCCCATCTACATGGTCTATCGGTTGATCGTCACTCCAGGAACACTTAAGGAGGTATCCAAGATACTCTGTTGCTTCTGGTTGATGTTAGGAAGGAGGTGATGGCCATAAATATTATGAGTAGGTTTTTCTAGGGACTGCTGACCTGGGATTTGGCTGTTCTGTTCCTGGTCAGCTGAATGCCAATTGACTTCTGCCCATTCTGATGGATCCAAAAGTCTCCTCAAGTCTTACTGAGGCCACTGACACATTCTCATAAAATATTATGTCATGTAATTTTTTTAAGCTCTGCTGAACTAGAAATCACCTCAGACACTGTCATGCAAATGAGGCAGTGAAAGGCTGGTTCCCTCAGGTATATCTGTAAGAAAGGCTTCTTTTTCTCTCCCATATTTGGTAAGATTTATCTGCCATAAATCTGTGGCAGCCTGTGAGGACAATTTTGGGATTTACTGCAAGTTCAAATAAATACCAGTTCATAAAGAATATGTTCAGCTGGCTCAGGGTATCCAAGTAAACAGGAAAGTCCTAAAGCACCAATACAACACTGCCAAGCCTTGATTCCAACTATGTTACAAATAATTAAAAAAGTCACTGTGTACTTCTATAGCACTTTACACCTTCATAGTGCTGAGACAACAGAGGCCTGAAGTAATGAGTGGTAGCAGTTCAGGAGTAGTTCAACAGTTCAGTAGTTCTGCAAGAGGTGTAACTCAAAGTTGTATTTTATTATAAATCTCTTTCTAAATGGCTGTCATGTATTACCTCTAAAATTAATCAATTTTTATACTGACTGCTCTCCAACAGCGTATTCTGAAAAGCATCACTCCAGAAACAGCTACAGAAATTCCCTTTGGAGACATCCGCATGAACGCCGTATAAACCACCCCCCTGGGTTTGGGGGGACAGAGGGGAGCAGAAGATGTCACTGTCCCCACACTCCCCCCTCCTCCCCCAAGAATCCCCTTTCCAGCTGAGACAACAAACAGAGGGGTTTTCCATGGAAGCTGCATCACTGGAAACGTGATGCCTCCAGCACATTCCTCCAAGCAATTCACCGAAATCCTCTGTGCACTTCCAAGCAGGCTGAACCGGGAACTCCCTCCCTCTGGAACACGAGGACTCTGATGTGCTTGGGAACATCCCTGCTCCCCCTGTGGGCACTGGGTGACTGCAGCAGCCACTGCAGGCCGGGGGGATGGCTTAGGTGTGAACCCCAGCCTGTGGCAGTGCTCCCGTACCCTCCTCAGTGTGCTCCTTCGTCCTGGGCAATGTCGTATTCGCTTTAAGGTTCTAAATCGCTTCAACTACGTGGGAAATGCAGAACTACTGCTGACAGCCACCCATCACTCGAGTGACACAGGGGTTTAGAAACCAGGAACAAAAAAAAAACATAGTTAATCCCCTAGGTTTGTAGTGGAGGAGGGAGAGGAAACAATCCTGATGTTTTAGGCTTCACTTTCCTTTAGACCAAGTGGTTGAAATACTGAGAAATTGATTTAATTTATTTATATCATTGCCTTTTTTCTTCCTTTCACATATTCACCTGAAAACGTGTAAACCAACCAATATTTATCAGGTAGCTCAACAAGTAGCCATATATTAAATATCAGTTTTGTACAAAACCCACTTATATTGATACCAGATGGGCTGCACTGCAATTACAAGTGTTTTGAGGCAAAAATTTCCTTCTCTTCAGCTCACCTTCCACTCATCTATCACACGAGTATATCCCGCCCTCTGTTCTGAACAGTGAAAAGGAAGTGATGAAACTGGTAAATTCGGACCATCTTTGCCTTCTAAAGAGAATTAAACTGGAGTTTTAGCTGTACAGAACTAAGTATTCCCTCCACCTTGTACATGACGCGCCTGTATTAATTTATGCAGCTGTTTAGTTACAAGTGTTGCAAGCTGATTGTAAGTCATCAGTATGTGCCTTGTACTGTAAACTGTTATTGTAATAAATTTAATATTCATAAACCATCTGCAGACGTCTCTTGTGCCTCACTCTTATGGGAAGAACAAAGATAAAATCTCAATTCTCAGTAAAAGCAGAATATCTAGTCCAGCTGACGATCTCAGCAAGGCCTCTGACAGAAAGCAGAGGATTCCCTTCATTGTTTGAACCCTGGCCCACAGATAAACACTCCTTCTTTCCATTCCAGCAGAAGGACCAACACTCATTACATTTGTTTAGACAAAGGAGCAAATCCAAACTCCTCCACACTTGGAGTAAGTGCTCAGCTGCTTGATTAGCTTACAGATGAAACTCATTCAAGTCTCTGTAAACTGGCAGGATTTGCATTTCACTTTACTCCCATTTTGTCTCATTACTAAGTGTGCTGAACAAATTATTAGGGAAACACCCATCTCAAAACCTTTTTATGTGAGTTCACCTCACTCCAGTATGGAAGTGGTAATTTTACTACAAAAGAAAATGAAAGAAACTTTTGTGGAAAGTGTTGAAAATGTATTCTAAAAGCTACAGCCACTGTCAGATATCCTACTTACCCAGTTTGGAGGTAACTTTATTCTCAGTTATGAACCTTTGAACAGAAGATTGAGAAATCTGTAACATCACTCCCAGCAGAACAAGCAGATACAGCTATAACGTGGAAAAAGGCTCAGATACCTTATGTCATGCCAAAAAAGATGTAGTAAAATAACTCACACATCAAAAAAGATTATTACACATTAGATCCAATACGTATCTTACACTTTATTGTTTCTGTACATCAGGCTCCCCAACTAAAGCCCACACATAAATACAAAATTCATGTATCAGTTTAGCTTACAAACCTACCCCAGGTACAGAAATCTCCTAGATTATTATTCAGGCTGTTTTTCTTGCTTTCCCCCCACACCTTTACAGGTTTGCTTTTTGTGACCATCACTTGGCAACAATGACTCCTGTTTGAGGGCTGAGAGCACCTTTGTTTCAGCCGGTGGAAGGAGCAGGGGCTGCCAGAGGGACTTTTTCACCTTGTGTTAAACACTCCCAGGTCTGTCCAAACCCTTTAAGCACCAAGGACTGTAGGGCAGGGTGGGCAGAATCGGCCACATTTAATATTCCAACTGTATAAACCGACTAAAGGCGTATCAGGTGACCCTGTAATCCTCTCCAGAAGTTGTTCTACTCAGGGACAATTTCTCAAAGGAAAAGTCAGGAATAAATAGCTGGGATACCCTTTTACTTCTGTGCAAGAGTCCACGCAGAGGTGGCTCTTCCTTTTGGCTGCCAGCCCAGGTGTCTCTGTGCCCCACAGGGACATTAATCCTCCTCCTTCTCGATGTAGGGCTTGGTGGTGACCCGAGCCATCTGCCGTGCCAGGTACCTGTCCCGTGCTGACATCACTGTCTCCTCGTTGCTCCGTTTGGCGAATTTGCTCATGCCCTCAGGAGGTTTCTGTGCTTGTTCTTTCTCCTCTTTCTCCCCTTCTTCTCCAGCTTTACGTTTCTGCTCAGACGAAACCCCAGAGCTGGAGGTGCCCTTCTCATCCACCTGCCTGTCTTTTCCCTTTCTCTCTTTTTCCACATCAGTATCTCCATCTTTTTCTGAAGATGCAGGAGTACTTTCCCTCTTCTCTCTGTATTTCTTTTCATCACTACCATATTTCTCTCTCCTCTCCTTTGCATGATCTTCCTTCTCTCTGTATTTCTCTCCTCTCTCCTTCTCTCTGTCATTAGATCTGTCTTTATCATTCCTTCTTTCTTTCTCTCGCTCCTTCTCTGACCCCTTCTCCTCTCTCTCCTTTGCCCTCCTCTCTCCTCTTTCTCTGCCATGTCCCTCCCTCTCCTTTCTTTCCTTCCCCCTTTGCTTATCATCCTGCTCTTCCCTCCTTCTGTAGTGATCCTTACTAGTGTGATCCCCGTGCCTGTGTCGCTCTTCCCTCTCCCTCTGATGATCCTTCTCATGGGTCCTGCTTCTCTCATAATCTCTTTCCCTGTATAGTTCATCATTTCCCCTTCTGTTTGGTCTGCTTTCCCCCCTCTTTGCCAGATGACTCGTTTGGGCTTTGGTTCGTGGCTCCTCCTCCACACTGGATGAGCTTGGTGACCTGGAATGCCTCTGGCTCTTGGGATGTTTGGCCTCCTCTTCACTGCTCACCGAGCTCCCTCTCCTTTTCTTCTTTTTCAAGTCTACTTTGCTGTGTTTGTGCCTCTTGTCATCATCACTACTGTCAGTCCCTAAGTCGGTATCAGCATCTGGATCACTCTCTTTCTTGACAGAGGGTTTCACTCTTTGTCTCTCAGACGGGCATTTGTCCCTTTCCGTGGCTTCATCCTGACTGTTGGGTTTTTCTTCCTTTATCCTACATTTTTTTTATGTTAGAAAAGAAAAACAACATTGAAAAGCCTGAAATCTTGGACTTTTCTACAAAGTGACTTCTGGTCAGGACTTAAGCAAAAGATGCTGCTGAGAAGTCTAAGAAAGCAAATCTGCCTGTGGCTCAGGTTCCAGGAATCCAACACAAAGGATTTCTGTTAAGTATCTGGTCACTGGTGAATGTGAGCTGATGAATTTTTCTAAAAGAACGACTTTGGTTAAGTATCTGCAGGCTCCATCTAAGGAAAAAGACATCCATTTGTATTCCTGTGTAAGCCTGTTGGCAAGTTACAGGTGTTCCTGTGTGCTTATTCCTCTGTTCATGTCAAATAATTATCCAGAGAAGCAGTAGATTGCATGTTTTGTTGACTGAGGTAGGAACATGGTTTCCATTAGCAGTAGTTTTTTTTAATTCAGTATTTCTGAAGATCTAAAAATAGAGCTGTTCTTTCTCTGTGTCCTGGTGTACCAGCATAGGTAAAACCAAAGTAAGAACATGCACCTGAACTCATCTGCAAGCCTCGCTGGGAGCACCACCTACAGCACTACCTGTTTCCCCCGGAATTAATTTTATGTGCCACAAAAGGAACATTTCCTTGATTTGCAAGATTAAGAAACCATTGTTTCAAATGACTTCTAGACAGAACAAAACCACATCATCCTGAAGACATAACGGAGAATTGCCTTATTTCAGATGGCTGAGTAACTTTAGCGATCACATTCTTTATTTAAGCTAAGAATTTACTTCCTAGTAATCCAATCTCAGATCCAGATGATCTCTTAATTAAAGCTGTATTTTCCTTGTAAAGGCAAGCATTTAACTAGTGCCACTCATGCTTAAGGCCTGTATTAAGTGAGGTTTAACCTGAGTTAATTGTTTCAAATGATCAGTTGTTGAACACCAGAAACATGTCCCCTTCATCACATTTATCCACAGGGCAGAAGTTTACCTCCTCAACTATCTAAATAATTCAGTCTCATCTCATTACTTTGCTTTGGAATGTGATATATTAGGATTTTAAAATATTCCCACATATTTGATTAATTCCCTTTTACCACAGCATCCTCACTCAATTCAGTTTGTATGAAACTGCAGATGTGGAATAAGCAAAAAGTTAGAGACTCACATTGTTTTCAGGAAATTCATAGCCCAACATCATTTCCTATGACTTACCTCTCTGCTCATTATTTTACCTTTTGTCTCCCTCATGATTCGAAATGTCTAACTTAATACAGATCTGCTAAATATTATGTAAGCCAAATTACATAAGGTTAGAATAATACCAAGCAGTGCTACAAGCATGACTGTGCTCTTGATACCTTTTAAACAGCATCCCTCTCCTGCTTGTTTTGTTTCTGTATCACTGGCCATCATTTTACCAAATAATTCAGTTAATCACAGGTATAAAATAACCAACTTAACCCACCAAGTGTTTTAGTGCTCTCTGTCTAACTCTCCAGTGAGTTTGGAATCACAAACAGCCAGATGTTGGGTTTTATACCCAAAAGCCTGTTGGAATCACATCCTACCTGGCTTCACGGAAGCTGCATTTAGGCATTTCTTCTTCCCCTACCCTCTGGTTTAAAAGGTGTCTGTAAAATCCACTGAGATCCCTCTGTTTGGTCACATCCAGGTACGCTGAGAGAAAGGAAGAAAGGAAGGTTGAATTTACTGGGCCACAAATACTCATCACACACAACTCACAATTGGTAGACACCACCAAGACTGCAATCTCCATCCTGAAGGTTTTCAAGTTCAAAGTGAAAAAAGCTCAGGAGTAACCTGCTCTGACCTCTCAGCAGAACGTGCTTTGAGCAGGAGACTGAACAGATGACCTTCAGAGGTCCATGCCCACCCAGTTTATGTTGTGATATCCTGTGCTTTACATCTACTCCTGGGACACTGCATGGAATGCCTGAGGTAAGGACTGTAAACATCATTGTATCCCAGGCTTATGAGTCTTCCTTCGACAACTGACCCTCCCTCAAAAATTGAAAGTACCAACCCAAATAGTACTGACATACAGAGGAGCTTCCTCTGCTCCTTTTGTACCCTGTACAAAGGAAAATAACAGTCCAAGTGGGATCTGGTTCAGGATCTGCTACTCTGGTCCTCTTCGATTTTATTTATCTCAAGCCTCAGAGAGAGGCCAGATGACAATGTTTTAAGTCATGCCCAAGGTCATACTTCTTTTTAAGGACAGTTATTTCAGTGTGACTCTCACCCTCAAGAGCTGACTGTCTTCTTTCTCTTTCCTCCTCCTCAGCCCTTTCTTGCAGCTTCTTCTTATAGGCTGAGGTCACAAAAGCCTCTTTGTGTGCGAACTCTCCTCCTTCCATTTCTCGCTCTTTCTGAATTTTTCTTTCCATTCTTTTTTCTTGTTCCTTCTTCCTAATCTCGGCTGCTTTGAGGATATTATGGATGTACCTGGGCTAAAATAGAAGGGAAAAAAGTTACTGGGTTGAGAAGTAATTGAGGTGGCTGAGAAAATACGAATTGGGATCGATGGATATGTTAAAGGAAGTTGGTAATGGAAGAAAATTGACAGAAGCAAGTCTAACATGTTCTTACCCTGGTGGAGAGCTATCCAAAATAAACTGTCATTCCCTTTTAGATCCCTAACGTGCCATGCTTCCCAGGAACAAAAGAGGTTGCTGTATTCAATCAAAACAGTCATCCCACCTTTGACTGGGAAGACTTTTTACTCTAAATGAAATTAAATGTTTTTCAATTTCTCATCCCTCTGTCTTCTGTTCTGTAACAGTCTTGCCTTTCTATTGCTGTAAAGGAGTGGGAAGCTTCCTTTTTTAACCCACAGAACCTGACAAGAGCTTTCAAATGAAAAAGAATAAGTAACAATGAAAATACCATTTGTCAGGCTAATTCAGCAATGCTCTGAAACAAGGCACTGGGCTGTGCAAATGGGCTCACATTTCACCAGTGGGAGTTCATCATTTTAGTCCTCTGACAGTCTCATGAAGTTTAAAGGAAATGCCTGTGGCAAAGATTACAAGGTAACCAGTCATGGTTGTTCCAGGCAGACGGGGGTAAGACAGACAGCACACACTGCCAGGTATTGACCTTTTTGTCATCTTGTCCAGATAACATTTTGGCGCTACTTTCTTTCTTCTTCTGCTGCATTTCATCATAAATACTGTCATATTCATACACTGTAGCATCTTCCTCCAAAGCCTTCTGAATCTCCAATTTAGTCTGAAAGAAGAAACGGAGGAGGAGAAGAAAAGATATCAAAAAAATCATAATAAAATCTTTACTATTTTCAAATACTTCATTCCTACATTGTAACTTCAACAGACCTACAGCACAAAGCTACCCGCTAGAACACTGAGTGTAAATTAAAAACAGTCCCTTACCTGTTTCATTGCTTGTTTTTTCAAGGCTTCTTTCTGAAGACTTTCCCCAACAGATGGCTGTGAGAAGGAAGCATTGCAGAAACAAAATTAATTACACTGACACAGATAATATTATTTTTCTACCATTCTAACCAACCACCAGGAAATAGTCCAATTACATAAGTCACTCTCTCACTTCAATGATATTTTCTGTAAGCAGAAAAACTGTAAGTTCATCCACCACATACAAAGAATTAACATTTTCCACATGCAAACAGTCTGTGAAACAGCCGTGAGTTAGAAAAGTACTGAATTCTTCCAGCATGGACTTGTCATCAGAGATGTAGCAGTCATGAGTAGACTCTTACTGACAATCACATGAAAAAAACCCCTCATAGTACTCATAGTAAAACCCAAATATCCTAAAAGATTTGGCATTTATTTCAAGTTTGAGCTGTATCATTAGCTCTGTATTTTCAGAAATAAGAACAGTGCTGAACAGCATGTACTTCAAATATTACTGTTTAATTTCTCAAGATTCACATGCTAGAAAATAGCAAAGTTTATCTTCCCTAAGTAGAAACAGATCCTTACTGAAAATATTTCCTAATTATAGTCTTTAAAAAAACCCTTCATATTTTATTTAGTTTTTTCTTTAATTAGTCTTGAACTAACTGAGTATCTATCTTTTCTCAACCAATAGATAAAAGTGTTTATTAAACAGATCCACTATAATGACAGGACTTGTACTCTTGTTTATGTAATTAAATATCTCTTAATCTTAAAAGACAGAAATAGGAAGGAAAAATCCTTTTGCATTCTGGCAGCTTCCCAAGTTTTGCGACTTTGACTAAGACATGCTCTGTGTCACATTTGAAAAAGACAACGAGATTCTGTAATTTGCTCTTAATAAAATTAAAGAAAGAAAACCAACTGGCAGAGAGCTTGGCAGAGAGGACTAAGATCTTCTGAAATCAATCAGAATTAGCACCATCTAAATTCAAACAGATCCCCTGAACAAGAAGGATTTTGAATTCTTTTGATGCTTAAAATAAAATAATAACATGTTGCGACCCCTCTTTCTTATCCTATTAAAATTTTAACAGATGTGTCAAGAAGGAAAAACACCGAGTGCTTTTCCCCAATTGCCTACAGGACAGACTGTAAACAGTGCAAATCCCCTTTTCACCAGGGAATTTCAGAGCAGGCAACAAGCGGGGCCAGGATGGAGTCCCATTCTAGGTGACTCTGTGCACTCTCCCTGTGTCCCCTCTCACCTCCTCAGAGGTGCCTGCTGATTTGGCAGGTGGGCAGGGCAGATCCTGGCCCTGTGCTGAGCCAACCCCAGCTCTGGGGAGGACTAAAATCACACTTTCCTGGCTGCAGGTGACCAGGTAAGAACGCAGACCACACTCAGGCTTTAGGAGCTGAGCTCAGCAAACAGCTCCACAGAGTCCTCTGTGGTCTCAGGGACTACACCCTATCTGCTGCAGCTCGCTGATTATTTGGACTACAATTGGATATAGTCTCTTATTTATTTATGTAGTTGGTTGGTTGGCTGACTGGGGGAAGTAGATAGCGGATTATTTAGTTTAAAACAACCTATAGTTCATCCAGTATTTACCTCTGGCTTTCTAGACTGAAAAACTGACGCTGAGAAGTAGTTTACAATACTGTACTTAATTTTATGACATACACTTTCTTTTGAAAATGCCATAAATGAGTCAGTGTAAACTGTAAACAGCCATTTTAAATTGGCATAGGACACACAGCAGCATTGCACAGAGGAGCCTGACTTCCAGCAGACCTGGCTCTTGGGAAAGAAAACGACTGAGGGTCATCACTGAAGGTTTCCTTTATGGAAAACTCTTACACTGGTTTAACAGAAAGGTACCTCAGCAACAAAGGATCTCCCTGCACTGTTCCAGAAGGCAAGGGCTCAGTAAAACACAAACCAGATTCTGCACCTGTATTTACAGAACAAGCTTTATTCCACCGAAATATCTGACACACAGCTTAGAATGTTTTTTCCTTGTCTGCCTACATGAAATAAGTGCACTGATCCACAAAGATTGCACAGACACAAAAGCAATATATAATCCTCACTACTGGACATCTGATGGTAAAGGAGCCCATCTGCCACTTGTCTGGAGTGGCAGTGAGTGCACAGAAAACAAACACCCTCCTCAGTGGTTTATGGGGGACAATTTCCTGTCGCGCTGTGAGCTCTGACAGATGAGAACTTCCCGTCCTTTTGTATTGTTTTTACTTATCAACTGCCCGTTTATTAAAGGCCCTACAAGCTCAGCAATCTGCCTCATACCTTCTCTTTCCCTGTAAGCCAAGCTATTCTTCTGAAGCACAAAGCTTATAGGTCAGTATTTTATGGAAGGAGAAAATCTTTTAACCCCATCCTGTGAGACAACACAGAATCCATGCAAAGCAACAGTCTCTTAGAAATGAGGCTCTCCAGTCTCTACCACTGCTCTGAGAGCATGGGAGACAGCTTGTACACAACTGAAAAGGTTATTAAAAAAAAAAAGGCAATAAATTCTCCCAATCTGCTAACACTTCTCATTGTTCTCTCCACTTCTTATCTCCTCTGGGTATCTTGAGCTTGTTTCAGGTTTAGTGCTTATGCTACCTCCTTATTTTTATCCCAAAGGCAAACACTCCTTGTAAGTTTCTTCTTAAAATACTTTCTTTACGTTGCTCCCAAATGACCAAAGAAGCGCAGACATTCCAACTGGTGGTTTCTAGGAAGCTACATCCTTAAATCTGAAGCTGAGGATGTCTTGTAAAAATTGTTTCAGCTATTTTAAGAGATGCTCTCAAAGTGTATGTGAGGTGTCTGATTTGTTTTTCCCCACTGAGACCAACAAACTCTGACATAATAGCTATTATTAATGGAATATCTCCTATTAGCTGCCTAACCTGCCTCCTAAGGAAAAGCATTTGTGGTTGCTCCAAAACCCCTGGCACGGCACTTATTGACACAACATAAGACTCCACTCCTTTTCTAAAACCAAAAGATGCTTCTGCTGTAATATAACATGTTATGGAAGATCCATAAGGAGGCTCTGCCCTTTAACACTGCCCTTTTGAATTCTCCATGTGCTGCTTTGCACTAGACACATAAAATAAATTACCTTTGTTTAAAGTGAAATCCATCTGAAAGGGAAATGAAATGCTTCAGTGATGTCAGGTGGACTCTATGCAGTTTGATTTTAATCTCTCACTGCAGCCATCCAGTTTTAACTGAATGCACCGAAAAATATTTGACCAAACAGGAACAACAAGAAAATTTGCAGTGAAAGAAGCACAGACAATCAGCCAGTTCTCAAAAAAAAAGCTTACATTTAAACTGAGTCAGTCATCCCAGAACACTGCATTGGTAAAGATTGAGAAACAGACACTTTCAGAGAAAAAAATCATCTCACTGACTTTAGGTGTCTACTTCAGAGTGAGGTAAGTTGTGCCTCAGAAGCATTTGCATCTTTGCTGACCATACAGGGAGCTCAGGAACTCAAGTGCAGCCACCTGCACGTGCCCCATGTGGCCACACCTCTGAAAGGCTGAGATCTGACTCCATTCACTTCATCCTTCTCACATCTCAGGCTCTGAGATCGTTGGATTCCCGACACTTTGGTCCCAAAAGGTCTTAAAATGAGCTCCTTACCCCCTCGTGTATATGTATTTAGGAGGGAATCCTTAATGCTTGCCCTCACAGGGACCTGTACTATCCAACTCCAGCCTGCACATGGCTGAGCCCTCCATGCACATGAGACTCAGTCTCCATGTGGAAAAGAATAAAAATCACATCAGGCAACAGAGTCCTCTCAGTTCACACACAAGTCATGGGTACTACCAGAAGATTAAGGGAATGAACATGAAAAACAAGTCATATTCACAGAATTAGTTCTCCTTGGCATTTCCTCCCAGCTTCCAGAAACCAGGAGATCAGGGACTTCCTGGACTTGAGGATGCACCTGGTCCATTGTTTGACGCCAAGATCATCCCTTAATTTGACTAATCCGTTTCTAAATCCATATATATTTTTGGCTATGCCACAATATCCTGTGGCAAGGAGTTCCACACTGTGTACAGAAAAATCTCCAACTTCCTCTTGTTTAGATTAAACCAGTTCCTTGGTAATTCTATATTATAACCTACTGCTCATAATATGAGAAATGGCAACATCACCTTAGTTCCTCTGAATCATTCCTGATTTTACAGACACCCTCTGAGTTACTCCTGTCCACTTCCTATTCCTCAGAAAACTCTTTTCTAAGAACCCCTTTAGTCCACTTAGTCTGACTGTGCCTGGAACTGTTGCATAAAATCTGGTCAGCACCAATCCTCACACCTTAGAGAATCCTTTTTCAGTCATACTGTTCCTCTGCAAAACTGCAAAGTGAATGGAAGGATCTGTAACCAAAGCCAAAAATCTGAGTCTACAATGGGATATATTCTCTGCTTATTTTCAGCTTCTGCCTGCTTAAATACTTGATTTATCTTTTGGATGGTCACTAAAAAACCCACCCAATCCAGCTATGCATTCACAGAACTATCCACACCGACTCCATGACCTTTCTCCTGAATTTAGCACCTACTGAGGTCTATGTGCAGTTATTTTTTGAGCAACACTTTTCACCCTGTAGGAACAAATCAGTTTTGAAAGGCTGGTAAGGAACAGGAATACACTGGGTGATCCTGATACAATCAAGAAACAGAAATTTTGTCTGCTGTACCACAGAGATAATTTCAACTAAGCTCCAAAGGTAAAACAGAACAATGAACAACACTGGCAATATACTGACAAGCCACCTCTGAAAACACAATGCATGAATAAGGGAATAATCTCTTTGGAGAAAATGAATAGATCACAAATAAGAGTAAGTCAGAATGGAAACTCATTTCTATATCATAGTTCGTTGTTGCAGCATCTACCCTCTACAACAGGCTTTCCTAAGGGCAACAACCTTTCCCTCAACAACTCCTCATTATGAAGGCAAACAATTCAGAGCTATATTGGCTAAAGTGACTGTAACCACCTGCTTTACTTTTTCCCAGTCAACATTGTATTTCAAGAAAATTTCCACCCTAGGTATTCTGTTTCATATGAACTAACCCAAAGATCATCTTCATTAACAACTAACACCCATTAATATACTTTGCCACAGGGGGAAAAAGAATCCTAATTCCTTCAGCAAAGGTACAGGCAAAATCTTAATGAAATATGCATAGTAACATAAAAAAAAAAATAAAAAGGGAGCAAAGTTTGGTATCTAATATATAATCACAGACCAAGTCAGGTGTGCAGATTCCCCAGCACAAACTTTATTAGAGTTCAGTTAAAAATACATAATCTCCAGACATTTGAGATGTAGTTCTGACTGATAAGGCAGCAGACAGGAAATGAAACCCCTCCCAAATGCTGCTCCTTATCTGGAAAAGCTCTGAAATTATTACTGAACTAATAAAGTAATTTTGCTTTTTTTTAAAAAAACAATCTTCTTTGATAAAGGCAGTTATGAGATTATTACTTTTTGCTGGGTATGTACCATACTCTGCAGGACAACTTTTAAGAGTCTTTATAACAGACTCTGGCAGTGAATCTGTCAGCCTTTCTGAAAGGGAGGATACTTGAGTTGTTAAGCTAAAAGCTGGCAGCCAGCATCATACATTATTTTTACTAGAATTATTAGCATTCATTCTTTGTCCTTTAATATTTAGATATTAAGAGAAAATTAAAAAATACAAGACAGTCCCATACTGGGGAAGGTTCCCACTCGCACCGTGTAATGTTTAATGACAACAGATTAAATCCAGCTTATTCCTGGAATCTGGAAAATGTGGGGTCAGATCCTTAATGTAGGGAAAGACACCAAATCCCAACTGACAGGATCCACTGCCACCTCCGTTAGCTGCAGTTAAAGGAAAGCCTCCAGAGCCACAGAGCCAGCTGTGAGCTCAGGGGAAGGGATGCCCAGCTGAGTGAGGAAAGAGATGGGATTTCAGTCACATTCCTGTTGTCCCTGTTTCCTGTGAGCTGCACTGCAAGGGTTGAGTGGGTATCACTGGGAAGGTCCTAAGCCCTTTCATGCCCTGTGTAACAGGAGCTCAGACACCTCCCACAGCAACACTGCATGCTGTGATGGAACCAGGCACACAGAGGGTGGGCATTGCTAGATTCAGGCTTTGACATAAAAAATACAACTGCTAGTTCATTTAAAAAGATTTTAAAAACAAATATTTCATGAGTCAGAAACTGACCAAAATTATCTGAAGATTTATTAGCCTTGTTTTTTTTCAGTCACACAAAAGAGTGAGCATGGAGTGAAGCTCTAGGGAAATAAAAACATCTTTGTAACACAGGTTCTGTTTCCAAAGTTCAAATGATACTAAAGTTCAACTTCTTAAATGTTAAAATTCTAGGCTATAGGTATAGGTAATATTTGTTTTCTGGGTTTTGTGGAAAAAAACCCTAAGCATGTACATAAGGACATTATGACTAAATCACCACAAGTAATTCCAGATCGATAAACCCCAGAAAATTGTAACATTACATTCAGAGAGCCCCATCCATGTGGAGAGTGAACTCCACAATGCTGAGTTTCTATTCTTTACCTGCAAATTACGAAGCTACTGGCTTTAAATCCTTCACGAATTTTGGTTTAGCAGGTGGGTTTCTTAAGGGCCCCAGCCCAGCCCATCCCACAGCCCGTTCCTGGATGCTTCCCGTGTTCCCAGCACCATATCCAGGTAGGATTTACAGCACACACCGCCCTCTGCTGGGGCAGGTAGGGAGCGACTGTTTTGAAGGGAATACTTTATAGAAAAGAACACTACAGTGCAATATCATACATCTCCTTTTGCTTTAGAGCTTTGGGGTTGTTAAGCCTTGCTTCTGTTCACAGTGACTGTGGACACCATAAACCAGTCACATCAGATTTGGGTGGAATGAGCCAAAGGATAAAATACACTTAATAATATCCTTAAAGGGTAAAATACACTTAATTACCACACTTTAGATTAATATCTGAGTAAGGCCTGTTGATTGGTCTTTCTATTTCCAAATGTATTCACCAGTGACAGCCAACAAATCTCTTTACAAGCTGCAGTTAACTCCTGCAAACAGGTTGCCACCTGTGCTGAATTTTTGAACAAGTTGACACAGAAAGTGACAATCAACTGATCAGTTCCATGTAACTCACACTAAAGACAACACAGATCATGTTTCACACCCAAATCCAAAATGACAACACAAATCCCAGTGACACTGCCATAACCTGATGCAGGCATTAAGAGCTGGACACAAACAACCTGCAAAATACAGGCTAAAATTTCAGAAGAAAATTGTTGAACTGACCTCTTCATCTGACTCATCTGCAAACACCGAGAGCTTCTTTGAAACGAGATTTTTCTGTGGCAATTTTTTGGGCATAATAAGCCCATATCTAGAGAAAAGAAAAGAAAAAAAAAGTTACTTACAACAAAACGTGGGGCATGTTCCAAAGCAAAGATCTGCCACTCACTATTTCAGAAGCAAAAGCTCAGTATCAACATAATGTATCAAAGGTAGATGTGAGCAGCCTTCACAGCAGAGCACTCAGCCCTGCCACGCACCTGCCAGATACTCCCAGGGCTATTGCTGTCTTTTTCCATGTAGAGTTTCTGGATGTAAATTTGTGTCCTAAATTATGGCACAAACCCCTCTTGCCCAGAATTCTCCATGGGGTTTTCTTTCCTCCCTCGGAGAAGTAAGAAATTACTGTTTAACCTGAAGGGATTTAGCCTTAGTCTACACCACAATATTCTACAGCTACGTTTGCAGTGCAATAGGAAGTTCACCTGTTTTGCTGGCGATGTAAACCTCAGGTTTACAAAGGCCAAAGGACAATATTTAGTCTGATTATGCCACGCACAAACTGACTAACCACATACAGACAACTCTTCTGCTGACACGGCCCACCTCTGTTAAAAACACCTCCTGTGGGTACTGAGCAAACTCTAAATGAAGGATTTCTCCCTCGTCTCCCTTTCCCTGAGTCCATCACTGGGTGAATGGTTCGCCAGAGTGTATCTCTGAGCTGGAGCACCGCACCGTCCTGGGGGTACGACCCCACCTCTGTGACCGCCCTGAGCCCGCCCCTCAGCTCCCTCCGACCCGGCTGCCCCGAGGCCGGTGCTCGGGGGCGGGAGGCGCGGCTCTGTGTGAGGGAAAACTGAGGTGATTCCCTTCCCTAAGAGTACAAAACACCCCCGGGCAACACCGACGCTGCCTCAAACGCCTGCCCGCTGTCTGGGGTTTGTTTGCATTTAATAAACACAGTTTTAAATTCAGGCCGACACAGCGGGGCCGTGCCGCGGACACCCGTGACAAGAGAGTCCACAGGGAGGAGGTTCTGCCAGAGCTCGCCCCGGCCCTCAGCGCCGGCCCCGGGAACCCCCGGCGGGGCCCGCCCTCCCCTTCTCCCCCGGCACTCACTGCTTCCCCAGCGCCGCCATCTTGCCCGGCCGCCCCTGCGCAGCCGCTGCCGTTCCGCGGCCGCAGATTCCTCTCGGCCGAGTCGCCCCCGCACACTTTTCCCCGCCCGCCCCGGAGACCCTCAGGGCACCGCGCCGCTGTCCTGCTCTAGGAAGGGAACGGAGGGCAGGTGGAAGAGACTGGAGGCGGATGATTTTTTTTTTTATCGACCCGTTGGCGAGTGGCGAAAGTGCCGATACAGGAAGGGCTTGTCCCGGGCGGCGCGCGACGCCCTGAGGGGAGCAGGGGACGCCTCAGGGCAGGGGCCGGAAAAGCCCCTGAGGCGAGAAAGGTCCCTGAAGCGGGGAGAGGTTCCTGAGGCGTCAAAGCCTCTGAGGGAGCAAAGCCCTTAAAAGGAAAAGGTCGCTGAAGGGAAAAGCCCCTGACGCACCCCCGACTATGCCCCTGGTGGTCGCCCGTCCCCGGGCCGGGGATGTGGAGACGCCCTCCCCTCCTGGTCATCACAGACCTGTCACTTGTTGCCCTCTAAAGACTGAAAGAGGAGTTTTAATTTCCCAAGATGTTATTAAAAAAGTGATTCTGCCAAAAGGGACGTTATTGGAAAGATGAAATCTCCCTGCCGACAGTGCGGTTGCTGTAATCTCAAACTTTATCCCAATAAGAAAGCTTTTGTGTTATATTAACAGTGTTGGGCTTTTCCGCAGTGTGTTCAGAAGAATGTTACAAAATGCTGATTAATAACCTCTGCTTAAAATTATTCCTAAAAAGTCATTTAAGGTGATTGAATCTTGAAAATTTTTGCTGTATCATTTATGAGCATTGTAGCTTGGGAGTCATAAAGTCATCACTGCCTCTTTTCCCCATCAGAATTACTTTTTAAAAAAACCAAAACTTTAATTAAACCTTTAAATTCAGTAGCTATATTAGCAAAATTGTTTCCTTTAATGTTTTTATTGCTTTTCTTAATGATCCTTAACAGACTTCCTATCACTTTAACTAATAATTCCTAACAAACTTCAACCATCTTAACAACAAATACTTAGTGGCTATGCATAAGAAAATAGAAAAACAACAGTTAATTTAAATTTAAAAATTTGTGAAATACTATAATCACTAGAGTTAGATGAAGAATTAAGAGATTTAGTTGGAGGCACACAAAGATGATGCCAAAAGGAACTAAGGATGGAGTTTTTCACTGTGTTGGCTCCTTGTGATCTCTGCGAGTGCAAGGCAGGTGTGAACCCAGTGGTACAGGTACTCGGCTGGAGCACAGCCCTGCTGCCACACCACCGCTCGAGGGACACCTGCAGCAAAAAAACCAGCTGTCACTACAAGAGGGAAAGTCAAAACCATGGGTAGTGTTGCCACAAAATCAAACTCAGATCGTCCCATCAGCAGTGCTTTGCCTGAGTCCAGTAATTCCACCCGGGGGAATGGTGATGCTTTGAAAAGCACAGAGCATTATTGAGACAGTGATGTCACACTGTCAAGCACAGAAGTGCTCACTTTTTATTATCATTTATCCTGTATTGTGGTAGGTCCCCTATTGTACAGAGTGATCTGCTATATTTTAATGCTAAACTTTTGATAATTAAAAATGCAATGAGAAAAGTGCTTTTTTAAATCCAAGCTCAGATTTAAGAGTAATATCCTTCAAAACTTTTACTAAGTGCTATTAAAAGTTGCCACGTAATCATGCTGTAAAGGTTGCTCTGTCCATAGAATGTAGGTTGTTCTGTGCTCTGTTCTTTATTACAGCACAAATATATGGAACATATGTGTATTACCTGATGTTCATTTTAAAGGAATTCCTCTAACTGTGAGTTATACCTGCATTTCAGCCTGGAAAACCAACCTTTCCCAGCATACCAGCAGTTGGCCAGAGCTGTATTCTTTAATCTAGTTACATTTTTGTCCATAGCTGTAGGAACACCGGATGCTGTAGGCCTGCCTTATTCTTTCCAGTGAATTAGTTTAATATATATGAGGAGAACACATGAAAAGGAACCCTGACTGCCTCAAGTGTTTACTCTTTATCAGCAGGCAAGGTACTGTTGATAAATATCTCCAGCTAAATTAAAAACTCTCTTGTCCAGGTTTGGTTTTTAACAGGCCTCTCGGATCATCAAGGGAGAAATCTCAACAAGAACAAGTAATTTCACTTGCAAAGATACTGCAAATAATAATAATAATAATAATAATAATAATAGCCTCTTGAGTGCTCTGGCACCAAAAAAGCCCATGTTCATTAAAGGAGAGAAAGACAGACTGAAAACCAGCCCCTGTCTGTGGCCAGTGAGTACATTAAGCACTTGGCAGATGGTGTTTTCAAAGAGGAGGCTCACACTGTCCTCCCACAGTCATGTTCCTGTTTGGAGCTGGGTCAGTCCCAAGGGCAGGGCACAGAGGTCTGAAGTAGATTTGCTTGCCAAAAGAACCATCATTCTTCATATGTCTTCACATATTTCTTGCCAAAAGAACTCTCATTCTTCATATGTTTATCTGGAGGTTTACAATGAGATCACTTGTTCTGGAAGGTTTCAAAGCTGATCTGCTCCTCTTTCTTTGAGGCAGTGCATTTTGAGTCTGAATTTAACAGGTTGACTTCTAGTGACCAAAAAAGACTGCAAATATTTAGGAACCTTTACCTGTTGTTTAACCTATTGTGAAATCAAAGTTAATTTGTGAAGCAAGGACCTTAAAAGCTCTCAGCTGAAGGTGGCCACTGACACGGTTCCTGAGCTGTGCCTGGTATCCTCACAAGGAGTTTATGATATTTACCAGTGATGCAGTCCAGCAGCTCTGCTTGAATTTGCACAGATGCAGCAGTTGGATCAAAGCAATAAATCTCCTGAATCAAATTGTCATCAAGTTTCTGCAATGTGGAGAAAAGAAAGAGCCAATGGTGATGAAAAGGTTACAGAATGAAAGATGGCAGAGAGAAGCATATAGGAAACCTATAGGTAATGAATTATTTCACTGCCAATTCCCCCTTGGCAAATTCCACTGAGTCTTCTTGAGGGAGGAATAATAGAAAACAACCTTTCAACAACTGGAAGTCTCACCAGTTTACACTGACTCCAGTTCTCGATCTCCTCTGAGCCCTTCCAGTCTGGATGCAAAAGCAACAGCACAGCCTTAATTACGTCGTGTACCAGAGCTGGGGGTTCTGCACAGCTCTTTACTCCAGCAAAGCTCTCGGCACCAACTTTCCGGACACACTCGCGCAGGTCCTGCAGCAGGAACCGATGGAACAGAAACCCCGGGTGCCTCACATTTGCCACCCGCTCTGCCTCTGCAATCAAAAACGAACCTCTCAAGAAGTTGCTCAGAAACATCTGCTACTCAAGACCAACATTACTGACTGACAGGCTCTCCCTCTTTGTGGTTAAGTCTTTGCCTCCTTGACTGATTTGTTTACAGCCCAAGTATCCTACCTAGCTTTTAAAAATGGGTATGTGCTTGAGCAGGGGACAACACTTGCCACAGGGGCAAGCAAAGGTCCTGAGACCATGAATGGTTCAGACATGCAGGCAATTCTGGGACATTCAAATTATTTTGTTCTTAGAGCAGTTCTGTGGAGGGCACCCCAGATCCCTGAGGGCGACAAGGCACCTTCCTTCACACCTCTGATTTCAGCACCAAGTACCCTGTGAACCAGAGTTAAAATCTAACCATTCTGTTTAACTGTGCTCCACTGAACTCTCAGGCTTACTCAGAAGTCGTTTACGTATACCAAAGATTTGTATTTGCCTTTTCATACTTGTAGGAAAGACACTTTAGGTGTGGTTTTACTGAGATTCCCAATTTCACTCTTAAAAAACCCCATCTTGTCTCTGTATGTACAATACCCAGCACATAGGTTGGTTCTGTTTCCTCTAAAGACCTCCACAGGATCTCCAAGCAGGCGGCTTGGACCATCTTTAGCATTTTCTGCAGGTCTTTCTGTTCCTGAGGTGGTAATTTCTTGTGGTGTCCAATGCTGATATCAAATATGCCCAGAGCTTGTCCTGATAGGTCATGGAGAGGTACTGCAATGTGCTGTTCTCCACGCACAGGAGTGAGAGCGACCTCTAAACTGTCTGTGCATCTGAACAGGTAATCTCTGAAATAAAATGTACTTGATTTTATCATTCTGGTTTCTTTTGGTAATTTACTTCGCATATTTTAGCAAGATGCCATTCATCTCTTGCTGTTAAGGGTATTAATTACATTACTAAATCATAGTTTATTTCCTTGAGCTGAAATCTGCACAGCTCTAAGTATCATTCAAGCCATGTACACAAAGGGGAAAATAGCATTGGGAGCACATATTGCTTAGCCAAGGTGACTGCTGAAAATCCTAAATATTTAACAAACCTAGCTTTAAAAACAGTTTTCTGTTATAAATGCATTGAGATAAATCTACAGAGTTTTATAAAAAGTAAAAACAGCTTCTGGAACAGCAAATCGCTGTTCAAGCAGCTTTGACCACAAGGACAATATGCTTGGAAGACAAGTCTGTGAGGAACTTGACAGTGGAAGGAAACAGCCAGCTGAGGGAATGAGATTAATGTGGCCAGGAAAGGAGACAGATTAATCTAAAGAGCAAAATGGTTTACCAGGGGCTTTATGTACCATGGGTCATGCCTGATGGAATCTGAGTCTAAGAGCAGAGGGGACTAGTCTGACTGGCTGCTGGAGCCTACCTTAGGAGGTTTTCTTCTCTGAGGAGAAGAGCAGGAGAGCTATGGATTTCTTTTTGTCCTGTGTTATCTGTAGTGATCATCTTGCACAGAGCCTGCCAGAGAGAAAAGAGAGGTTTAGCTGCATCCAAGAAAGGAACAGATATTTTGACGTTTGGAGGGGGAGGAAATGGCTTATTTCTTATAGGAAACTCCTATGTAAGTTCAAGGGGTGGTTTAAAGTCATCTCCCAACAATGCTTGGTTTTATTCCCACAGTGTATCACTCAAGATACATGAAGAATGTGCCCTGAACCTCCCTCAGCCAGACTATTTAATCCACCCCAGGCTCCACACTGAGGAACACCCA